AAGTCGCAAGTGGCAAGGTTTTTCCTTCACATTCCTAATGGCCAACTAGAAATACAAATCTTTTATGGCCACACAGCACGCGAATTTTCTTACACAAAATTTTGATTAAAATATTTTTTATTTTTTTCTCAAAGTTTTTAACTATTTCGACTTTTGGTGCAACTGTTAATTAGCGAATTTATGCGAGCGCCAGCTTGTCAACTTGTTTGCTAGCCATGCCCCCGAAGGCATGCGCCCAGTTTGTATACCCTGCAATCATTGTGAATGCTTAAATGGGGTATGTTGACTCGATGTGTATAGATGTAACCTGATGCACGATCTCATTGGCTGATCTTCGATCTATCGATATCGTGTTTAATTTCTATCGATATTTTCTTCCACTTCTTAAAATCCCAAGACTTTAAGAGCTGTTATAATATATATATACATTTAAATTAATACATTTTAAATTAAACGCAGCAGTTTTAGTTATGCTTAGCTTGTGATAAAGGGTATCGAGTATGATGCTTGTGAATGAAATTCTATATATCTTTCTTCTGTACTTATGTATACTTATGGTAATGCATTCATATCAGTTACAAGATCTTTAACTCAACTACAGGGTATCTAGTAACTAATCACTATTGAATTTTGGACTCCTCAATATGAAATTGGGAATACTTTAGAAAGAAGCATTTATGCTTCTTCACACCATAGTTGCTTGTAGAGCGGGGTATCTCCAAGTCAATCATTTTCTGCTTGTTTCACGACTACGCAATGGGCGAAAATACCCGCTCCATACTCGATTCTCTTGCGAACTTTCTACAAGTAATCTCACTTGTCCCATCATTATATTTTTTCACTTGCTATGCAGGGTATCTGGTAGTCAATCACTTTGGCCTAGAGCAGTCTTGTGTGTTTCTTTAGCAATTTTTCATGCCAGGCCGCCGCTCTCAAGCACCGCCCATTGATCGCACGTTCTAAGAATGTTGTTTTCATTTTTGCTCAGTTTTTTCTGCGCCCGAAGTCATTTTATTAATTTTATTGAGGCAATCGCAAACGATTCGCGGTTTTTACTTTGTAATTTTTATTATAGCCTTGTTGTTGCTGGTGTTGTTTTCGATGCTGTTGCCAGTTTTAATGTCATTAACAAATTTTTGTTGAAACGTTGCGCTGCTATTAATCATTCGAAATTAATTGTTTTTTCTTTTGTCTATTGGATTTTCTTTTTGTTTGCTTGATTTATGTTTGGAAATCGCTGTTGATTTTTGCCAACTACTTGTTCCACGACTACTCAGTGGGCGAAAATACCGCGTGATGCGCTCACCTTTTCCCGTTAAGCGTTTAAATCGCATGAAGCTGCATTTGCACTCGAAGGTTGCGAGTCTCAGCTGAGTTTTTGTCACTGATTTGTTTATAATTATCCCGAAAGTATTCGCAATCGAAGCGTCAATTGCTTCAGAGAAGCCAAGAGTATTTAACGTTGACTTCTATATATATTATGATTGTATCAAGAGCTAAGACTTGCATGCCATATTGAAACTCTTCAGCTCATCTCTCTTAACAGTACTTAAACGTCAATGGTAACATAAATAAAATATATATATTTTTTTAAATCTTTTTCCTTATCTTATCGCTCAGTACATATACAATCGATACTTATCGATAAAGAGCAACTCTAAATTCTAGCTTTTATAAAGAACTTAATAATACTTAATAAACATCTGTATATCAAACAATATATGATGTATTATATATATACATATATATATATATGTATAGCTTTGGGATTCTTGAGTTATTAGTATTTCTATTCCAAATTATATGTGTAGAGTTCTTTTAGTTATCGACTTTTGCTTATTAATATAAAATTCAATATTAAATTCTTGCAATCGATTTTTATCGAGATCAGAAGAGTAGTAGAGACTTCCTCTTAGTTATACCGTTAGCTAATATACATATTATTCAATTTATACACAGGGTATAATTAGAGATTGTTTGCTGTTTGATTTTGATAATTGAAAAGTTGAACTGTTTTCTAGTCTCTCTGCTATTTGATTTGCACTAACTGCTTATTAGCTTATCCAACTACACACAATTTCCATAATAATTACACACACTCACACACACGCTCACACTCATACACTATCTTTATCCGATTTTGAAATGCGGGCAAATAATGCAACTGGAAATTATAAATCAAATTGCCACTAATATGTCAGATATCTATCTGGCTAATATCCATGCAGACATCGCTGCATGTTCTCAATGCTCATAATACCATATATATATATTTATATGTATGTGGGCGTGGCACTTGAGGGGCGTTCGATAATCATGGCACGCCATTTTAAGCTGTCACGTTTTTTTTCTTTTGTATCTGTGCACAGTGCAAAAAATTGATTGAATTTATATATATATATATATATATATATATATATATATATATATATATATATATATATATATATGTATATATATATATATATATATATGTATATAATATGTAAATATGAATGTAAAGTGTGGCTTAAAATATTTTCGACAGAAGGTGCTTCTCTGTCATCAGTCTTAGAGCTCGCTTAGCCTTGTGAAGTGAGCTTTAAAGAAGCTAGAGAATCGCCAATCGAAGCTCAAGTTACCTATAAGTTAAACACTAAGCTATATAGTATATATGCCTGGACTTGATCAAGTTTAACAGATATGGAGCTTGGCATATATTCAATGTAGAGCTTTCATATGAAAGTCTTTCTGTGCTCAAGTTTGCTTGGCAATTAATCGATAACTTTATCATATGCCATGAAATCGATCTACAGTTTTACCAATTTGAGCATCTCTCACCCCAAAAGCTGCAGTATATTAAGTATACAGTTATTTTTAGTAAGTAGTTTGACGTTTTCTTTGTGAACTGAAGATAAGTCAAATTTAAAGCATTTAAATATATTTTTTACTGTGTAAAAGTGTGAATGCCTCTTCTCTCCTCTCTTCAAGCAGAGCTATAAACAAGGCAACGCCTCGCCTGGGTTACATGTCAAAAGAGAGAAAAGGCCAAAAGCCAATTATCCACAATCAAATATAGTTAGGCATTGAATGTACTACATATATATATATATATATACATATACATGTGGATGAATAGATATTTTGTAAACTTGCAAAAGACTTGCCAATTGACGCTGACGTGACGAAATCTATTATTCTAGCGATGGTTAACGTTAAAAAGCAATTTGCATTTTTGTTCTTTAGCAATTATATGAATTTAAGCACTTCTTCTCACATGTATGTTGTTAACATGGCTTCTTGGCATCGGCTTCAAATGGGACATTAAGTATACGTCTAGTTGAACTAATTTGTTGGGACTGCCCGCATGTTGCAAAATGTTTACACTGCTATCTGTCAAATCAACTGACAACTGAAGATCTTTTCTTTGCTGTTAGTGTTAGTGTTGTTGTTGTTGTAGTTGTTGTTGCTGTTGCTGTTGTGGTTCACACTTGGCTGCGTCTTTGTCAAGTGGGAAAAGTTTTGTGCCTTTTGCAGTAATTAAATTGTAATTAGGGCTGCATCCGCTGAGCCTCCCGCTTCATACTCCACTTCAATTGTCTTGGCAGCCCGTGCCTCGACCATTATTAAGTATTATTTTATACACACACAGAGATATTTGTATATATATAAATTTAGTTGATGAAACTGCGTCTCATAATTGACGAGCGCCTAACGACAATTTCATTGTACCAAATCGCGACAACTTTTCAGACATTTTCTCTCTTTGCTCTGCCTTTCCCTCTCCCTCTCGGTCCGCCTCTCTATCTCACTCATTTTCCATTTCCATTTTCATTTATTAAAGCTTTGTCGCAATGAGGGTTATTCAGCTTGTAGAACTCCTCCTAATTGCAGCCGGAAGCAGGCAAGATTCATGGCGAGTCGGCGCGTTGCGCTTTTGATCAAGTTCTTATTAGCCAAGATTGGCAGCCGGATGGCCGACTCGACTTGGCCGGCTTGGCCCATGGGAAAAACTCATCTCATCTCTCGGCTCAGCTCGTTGCGAAACCCCCACTCCATCACAAACGAAGAGGAATGAGAGCTCTGCATCTCATAATCATAATCATAATCATAAACAGTCAATGCCAGTAGCTGTGCCATAAGTAGCTATCGCTTGCTGTCTGTCTGCCACAATTTGTGGCAGTACGTGCGGCGCGTAAATTCAATTTCAGTAGCTGGATCTCTCTCTTGGCCTGGTCTTAACGAGAAATCAACGCCGCCAAGCAAATTATTGCCGAACGATACGCATGTGCTGCAGCCATCATCAGAGATCAGAGTGGCAATCATCAACGTCGGAGGGAGGAGGAGCGGGCAGGAGGCTGGGCGAGGGGTGAGGGTAAAAAGCAAATCGGAGTCGAGTCGAAACCGTGTCGAGTAATGGATAAAATTGATTTAGCCACCTCGACGCTGGCGCTGACCTTACTACTGTTTTTACGCCTTAAGCAGAATCTCATCAAGACGTAATGACAACAAGCAAGAGAGTTTTTCAATTGAATGACTGGCAGATACCCTGCAAGTGGTCTTCTCGAAAAAACTATTCAAAAATGGAACAAACGAACTCTGAACATGTATTTCAAACTTAACTGCACTTATAAACCTTTCAGTAATTGACTTACGCCTGTTATCGATTATTATCGATTGAGGGTGTCAGATTTCCAGTCTTTTACACCAAGTCCACAAACCGATTATTATCGATCTTATATGAAGAGCTGCTCAAAAGCTCTGTGCATACATAAATTTAGAACTTAAAACTTTCCAGCTGAGAAACGAAATCCCTAAATTTCATTCCAGCAATATTTACAAAATTATAGAAAATATCGATCAAGAAAAACGATAACAGCAACAAAACTAATATACTCCACTTTCGCACAATGATTACAGTGTATAGCAATTGATCAAGTTAATGCCAGAGCTGATTCAATGCAAATCGATTTATATTAAAATGTAATTTACTTGCGGTTGCCACCAATTGTTGCACTCACCCTGCTCCTCATCGAAGTTTTTGGTCGATAGCTGGAAAAGCGCGTCGAGTGGCGTATCAGCGCCTGCTGCCTGCTTCAGCTGCTGCTGCTTCTGTTGCTGCGTATGTTGCTGCTGCTGCTGCTGCTGGTGTTGCTGGCCATGCTTCGTTGTCTCCTCTTTGCTTTGGTTGGGCGTCGTGCAGCAGTCGGTGCTGCCGTTGCTGCTGCTGCTACTGCTGTGGGAGCGCTGCGAGCGATCGGAGCTGCCATCATCGGATGGTATCGGTATTATGGCGGGATCCATGCTCATTTGGCGCAGCAGCTGCGCCTGGAAGTGCTCCTGCAGCTGGCGCTGATAGTCCCAGGCCAAGCGCTGTTCATAGCTGTGCAGCAGTGCGGGCGGCAGAAACGGATGCAAGCCGGGATGCTGCAGTAAGCTAGGTGCTGGGGCAGCAATAACTGTTGCAGGTGGCGCCACCAATGCTGCTGGTTGTAAACGCTCCTCGGACTTACGTTCATCCACTTGACCCAATATATCGGCTATGGAGAAGCTTTTGATGCGCTCACCTGCCCCCGGTCCCGCTCCCGGCCCCGACCCTGACCCCGATCCCTTGCGAAGCGTGGCTGGGCTGTGCAGGAGACGCAGCCTCTTGATATTGAGTGGGCGCATGGCTAGCGGCGGTGGACTGGGCGAACCCACTGAAATTTCGGATACGGCAGGACTGCTGCAGCTACGCGTGGCAATCATTGAAACGGGACTTGGCGTTCGTTGTGGCATCTTAACACTAATCGAAATCCAACGCGTCAACTTTCGTTTCACACAAACGTTCGATAAAAACGCGTCGGCAAAAACGCGGCAAGTACAGCGACTGCGACTGTAACAGCGACAGCGTCTGGCGCTCAACGTGCAACGTTCCACATTCAACAAAGCAAACGCGAGTTGTTGCTGCTGCTGCTCCGCTGCTCAGTTAAAATGGCTTTAGCTCTCGTTTATTCTCTCTTTCTCTCTCTCTGTCTTTCTCTCGGTTGCTCGACAAACAAGTTTGATGACGTCACAGCTGCAGCTGCGCAGTCCGCCTTCTAATTGGAATTGCCGCACAAGCAGAGGCGTGCTTTGAGTGGGCCAATCAGCGTTAAGCATACGCTCATTGCCACATCACCCCCCGTCTCACTCACACGTCAGTGCGCTCTCTGGGCTGTCAGCGTGCGAGCGTCATCAATATTTACAATTTGACATGCGCTCACTCGCTAGCTCGCTCACCCGTTCGCTCTCTCATTGTTATTGCCTCTTTTTTCGTTTGTTTTCCTGAGTGTGCATGTTGGTGTGTATGGTGTGGTGTGGTGCGAGGCTGCCTTTCCGCACCGCTGACTGTGTTAATTATCGTAATTGCCGGGGCTTCACTCTCTGTCTTCTTCACTCTCTCTCGCAATACACTTACCACGAGCGCTCTTCTTCTCTCCTTTTCCTTTTACTCCTGTCCAGCTGCTCGCTGGCGCACTCAATTGTCATCAATAATGATGTCTAGTTTTCAGTCGCTGCTTGTACCGTTTTAGTTTTTTTGTAGCTTGTTTTGCCTGTTCGCCGCTTGCCTTTTCGCCTTTGTGGAGTGCCTATTTTCGCCGCTGATGTATTTGCTGACTGCGGCAATTTGCGCAAAAGTCTTTAAAATCAGCTTTGGGAAGGTGTCGTTGTTGTCGTTTGCTGTTTTTGATGTTTTTGTTGCTGTTGTTGTCATTGCCCCATTCTCATTCTTATATCCAGGCGTATATATGCATATGTGTATTTGTATATTTTGCTTTGGCACACATTCGTTTTGTCTTGGAGTTGTGCTGCCTCCATCTCTTCGGCTCTTCTGCCGCTTTTGTCATTGCCACACTCGTTGTCCCTTTCCCTTTGGCCAACCCTTCGCACTCCTCGCTCTTGTTGCATTGCATTGCATTTAAATTGATTGCAGTAAATCACATTTGCCTTTTGCTCAGCTTTTTCACTACTACGTATTTATGTGTGTGTGCATGTGTTTGTGTTTTATTCAATTTTTGTTTCGTTGTTTGTCCTGGTTTTTTCCGACATATCTTTTGCATGCAAATGTCTATTTAACTGCAATGCGCTACCCACTCCTCTCTACCACGTTTTCAGCTAAGTGAAATGATGCAACTGTAGAACCGGAATCGATAATACGTTTTATTTACTCTTACCGGATGTACACAGCTTAGCTAAGTCAGTTGAAATGCGACACTTGATGATATAAGTGTAAAACAGAAACGATTAACAAGTTTTGTCCTCATAAACAAATTCTATTAAGATCGAGCTGTTATGTTGTGTAGTTCTAAACTGAGACTTATAGAGTATTAAATGTGCGACAATATTTGTTTTGCTTCCCTTCTTTTTTGTTTTTGTTATCTTTCAATGCCGTTGCTTGGCATTTGCCGTTAGTTTCTTTCATTTCATTTTGTTCTATTTTGCTTATAAGATGGCCGTGTGGCTTGATAAATGCACTGCACTTGACTGACTTAAATGTGGCTGTTGTTCTTGTTGTTGTTGCCGTTATTGTTTTATTGAATACGTCTAGATAGGGTATGCAGGCGGTACGAAGATTGTGATAATTCACAAAGCATATATATTCTTAACAAGTACGATTAAAGCATGTCCCTAAAGTCAGTTGCGTTAACTAAAAATTGTTGAAATCTTGTAAGCATTGAAATGCAATGAAGAACAGAGTTTTTTAGTATCTGTCAGACTATGGGAGCAGGACATTCCAATTTTAGTATAATATCCTGCCCAAATCATACAAGGACAGTTCTAAGCCCTGTTACTTATTTCACCTTTAATTAACTGTATATATGGAATTCTCTAGTGAAGTCTCACTCATGCTTCTACCCAATGAACTGCATATAGGGCACTCTCTAGTTGAGGCGACCCGTCTATATTACTCTTGCTTGTTCCTCACTTCAATTTAGAAAAGTTATTGCCGCATAGCAACGATGCGTTCGTCAGCTTTGCTGTGCCATCAGAACATACTCAAAATCAATTACAAAATGCGACTTAATTGGGCGCCTCAATAGAGGCGACACGCCCTGTCAATCATAATTAGCGCGCGCCCCTAGCCCGGCCACTCGAGTCACATTCGCCACGCCTACAAAATTTGTGCAAATTCATAAGCCAAATGCCTGTATCGGTATCCTTTTCATTAGTCAGCACAAGATGGCGACTCGAGTGTGTTCATTAAAACCTCATAAATAGCTAAAGTGTTTATTGTCACACAGACATACGGACGGAGGAACGGAGGGACGGGCTGAGCTACAGCTGGCAAAATCCTCAGAGTCCCCTGGGGAAGAGCGAACGAGCTCCTGGGAGTGTTGTGTTATATACAATGCCAACGGGAAGGGATGCGACGAGAGCTGTTAGAAGCCAGCCACGAGTGTCACATTGGTAATAAAGTCATTGCCCATTGTTGTTGTTGCTGTTGTTGTTGTTGTTGTCAAATTTGTCACGCCCCTTCGGCGAGCAATGCATTAATGTCGCCTCTTTTGTTTGCTGCGGCTCCCGATGATGAAGTTGTGCCACGTCCGTTGTCAAACGGCACAAAATGCATGCCAATTAATGAACAGCTCGCAGCGATCCTCAACCTCAGCCACAGCCACAGCCACAGCCGCAGCCTCAGCCTCAGCTTCAGCTGTGCCCAAAAACTGTGACGAATGCGCTTATGAGTGCCGGCTATGCTCTGTTTTGGTCACACTGGTTGACAGCCTGCAGACAGAGGCAATACACACACACACACACACACACACCTGCAGCTGTCAACATTTTGGCAAATAATTATGCACAAGCCGAAAGTATTTTGTGGCAGGCAACAGAATATTGTATCTGTAGCAATTACTAGTCTGGGCTACACTCAAAGAAAAAGCTGGTATGCTTTGCTTAAATTGAGATTAAATAGGCCCCAAAGGAAATTTGTTAGTTCAAGACTCTTAAACGAAAAGTATCTACTGATATTACTAGCTATTAGACACTACACAGAGAGAAAAATATATAGTTTATTTTAGGCGAAGTCTATTAAAATTGATTTCTTTGAAGATATTTTTATATATCTTACAGTGTTTCTTACATCATTCACATTGGCTATAATTTTCGCTCAGTGTATGCTTAGATTGACTCGCTCAAATGGAACAGAAAGCCGCAAGTGCTTAAATGAAGGTGACAAGAACAATGTTGTTGCCACTTGTGCGTAGTTGCAACCGCAATCCAAACGACAACGAGAAGGAGCTCAAGAAGAAGAAGAAGATGGAGCTGCACAGCTTGGGGCAAAAGAAGTCACATCTCATCCTGGCTGCGAGACGCAATTTGTCTGCCCAAATCTTTTCAGAGATAAATCAAAACATTATCAATAATAAAATCGGTAGCTGTTTGGCCCTTGGCTGCATTTGAGATGGGGATTTTTTTCCGACTCGGCTCTTTGTTGTGGTCGAGAAACTAAAAACCAAATCCCCCCCAAAAGACACAGCAAGAAGAGCAAGAAGAAGAAAAACAAAACTCTGTCTTGAGTGCTCGGCGTCTAATTTGTATGCAAATTGGAGTTAAAAGTTGAAAACTCTGATGAAGCTTAATGTCAGCAGAGCGTGTGTGTGTATGTGTGTGTGTGTGTCGGGTCTCTTACTTAAGTGACAGACATTAACACTTTTGTAGTTGGAGCTGTGAAACTTTTGATTTCCACAAAATCTTTGTCGGGCTACCTATCTCTGCTTCTCCCTCGCCCCTTCTCCCTCTCCCTCTCTCCCACTCTCTGTCTCTCTGTCACACTCCTCTTATCGATGATATAGCGGTATGGCGTCAACGTCAATTCATTGGCATCAAACGAATTAAGTGGCCATAACGACTTTTCGAATGGATTCCAACACGGGCGCGTTCATCAAATATCAAAGAGACAAATCAACATATTTATATATGCATATATCCATATCTATATATATATATATATATATATATATGTATTTGGTAGCTGGAGGCTTTCTTCGTGTGTGTTCTGCTTGGGAGTCGACTAATTGATTGTTAGCTGGCAGCTGGGACTGGGAATGCTTATTGATTTTGTCGGCTTCTTCTGCCTCTGATCTTCAGTTGGCCCAAGCTTAATCTGTTCTAAGTGGAGCAGTGCATCTCTGAGATAAACAATGCGGCTGCTGTTGTGGTAGCCAAAGACTTTTAGCTAAGCGACGCTTGACTATTTGTTTTCTGCAGATCAATGTAGAAACAATAGAAGAAGAAGCTGAAATCAATCTAAATGAAAAACATGTTTATGACTCGAATCATTTCCTTTAACTTTCATCATTGAGATCAAGTCCACATTTAAATTTTATTCATATTAGGGAACAAACAAACAAACAAACAAGCATCAGTGGGGAGTGCTCGACTGGGGTATAACTTTGTGAAAACTTTACCTGCCTCGACTTAATACTTAATCTGCATTCAATTTGGCCATATTTATGAGTTTGGCGCACTAAATCGAACTATTTTTGAAGAAGAATCGCGCTTGGTTCAGTCTTATTGTTCTGGCCTTGTTTCTTATTGGCTAAGACTTGAGTTGACTGCATGCATATGAATCGGAATTCCTTTCTTTAGTCAAGCCTAGCTCTCAAGCTTTCTGCCACATTTATTAGTAACATTATTTAATTACATAAATTTGATTTCCTTTTGTGCCCGAAATAACTTCTCTGCGCCTCTTTTCGGCGAGTTTTACTCGATTTAAATGATGCTTTTCACAGTTTACAACTTCATTAACAATGCGAGGGATCGAAGCGAATCATAAGCTTTCATTCATGAAAACAGATAAATTTCGGGTATTTTTTCTTCTTATGGAATTGGATTGGATTGAAGCATAGAAATGCGCCGCATCACGATCAAATGGATGAATGAATGAATGAATGAAACAAATTGCTTTGAGTGCGTCTCGCCTCGCCTTGCCCGCCGTGCCATTTTTTGCTGCATCATTTCCATTTCCCCCACCGCTGCCCCATTTCGACTGGATTTTTGGTTATCCTTTGTGGGGCAGTCGGAGCAGCTAAAAAGCAGACTCGAGGTGTCGGCTGTGTAGGCTAATTGGCAGCGTGTTCAAAGGTGCCGCCAGCAAATTAAGTATGAGTTACCAATTTAGCTTTTATATCTCTATTGCACACTCACACACACTCACACACACACACACACACAGATACACACTTGTTCTCAAAGGCAGCGCTGCAGATGCGCTGATCATCGCATTGGGGGGCAGCTTGCACAGCCTCTCTCATACTCTCTCTCTCTCCCTCTCTCTCTTAACTGGTTTTGGCTGAAAGTAATTGCAGTCCTTTGATTGCATTTGTATGCCAAGCTGAATTGTTTACATTTATCATAATCAGCAGCGAGCAAAAGTCGCGCCTCGGGCCACTCCGACTTTTCTTTTCTTTTCTCTCCTTTGGGGCGCCAGCTAGCTGGCAGCCTGGTGTTGCAAGTGCCGCGCCGTGGCAACATGATGTAGGTCGTCTCCAAAGGGCACTTGATCGTGTGAGCTGTGCGCAAATTGCTGACAATCTGACTGAGCAGGAAGTACGCAAAACACTTTAACAAGCAGCCAAAGAAAGCTGAATTCAAGTCGGCTGATGGTGCGCAGATACCCTGTAGTGCAAGTAAATGGGTATGCTCTTGGCTTACTAAAGGGCTAAGTGGGTTATGTGGAGGCAACTCTAGGAGTATTTTGAAGGGGTTGAAGGTAGATAGGCTAGGATATATACATGTAACAGCTAGCAGAAGGAAACACTGACAAGCCATCAGTATATATTACACATCTCTTGACCATAGTCTATTGCAATAGTCCAGCTCTACACTGTTGCTGATATGAATACGCCCATTTAACCACTTTACAGGGTATGTGTGTCACGGAAAGAATCGTAGGAAATACAAATGATATTGAAATGAGAAAAGCCATTTGAGCTATTTCCGTCGAGCCGCGAACCATTTTGTTCACTAGCTCCAAGCTTTTTCACTTAGCAATAGAAAGAGAGGGAGAGGGAGAGTGAGAGAGAGAGAGAGAGAGGGGGAGTGGGAGAGGGACAGCTGCTGTGACTGCGCGTGAGCTGCGCTCATTAGTCATTTGCAGTTGATGCGATTAATGGGTTTCGACAGTTACGCATGATAATAGCGAGCTCTAAATGCTTTTCTATTTGTTTTCACGGAAGTGCTGGGAGTTTTTTCTCTGGCTTCCCATAATTAGAGCTCGCCTCAATTTGGCTGAGCGAATTTCTCAGCTACTAAAACTAAATGCCAACGGTAATGGCCAAGTCATTTGTGCTCCATAGCTATAAACTATATTGGCTAGCTCTTTCTCACAGCTCACAGTTTCACTCTTCCTCTCCCTCACTCTCTGTCTCTCTCTCTCTCCGTCTCTGTCTGTCCCTCTGTCTGTAGCCAATGATTTCAATTAAACATTTTCCAGCGCAACTTTCGCCCAGAGCACTTTCAAAACGCATTAATCACGCCCAGCTTCATCGAGGGAGGCGCTGTGGCAGGGGCAGGGGCAGGGGCAGCTAGACGAGGCGAACGTAGGTAGCTCTAAAAAGTTTCTTTATCTCGAACACATGCGTCGCATTGTCACACATTCGAAAATGAAAATAAATTGCTTTCCAAACTATAGATATGGCCAAGAAAGATCTCGAGTCCAGCTGCTCATGCATATGTAATGGGGTTTTCCGCCTAGTTTACGAACTGTTAGAAGACAATCGAATCGGTTCGTTGGCGGCGCGATAAGCGCCAAATTAAACTGAAGACCCAACTGGAGCTGAGCAGCCATCAGCCAGCAGCCAGCAGCCAGCAGCCAACAGCTCAGCTCATCTCAGCTCTTCTCGGCAATCGGTCGGCATCATTAGCAGCGGAATTGATAGCTTGATTATTCAAATTATTAACAAACGATCGACTGCTGCTGCTGCTGCTGCTGCGCTGCTGCTGCTGCTGCTGCTGCTGCTGCGCTGCTGCTGCTGCTGCTGTTGTTGTTGGCGACGATTGATGGCGCGCTTCAGTTTTCGAAAAGTGCTGCCAGGTGCCTCGCAGGTCACAGACTCTCAAAAGATGACGAAGAAGAAGAAGACGCTCAGCTTGAGAGTGAAAAATGTGTGCGCCGGCGGCGGCGTTCCGAAAACCCTTTGAACTGGCCCGCAAAACGGTAGCCAACGCCAGCCACGTCCGTCCGCTTCAGTTTGAAATATTTAAAAACCAGTAAAGCTAATACCTAAGCCGTGTATTAGACGGCAACATACCCTGTGAGAGGAACAATTTCCAACTGAAAGCCCACAAAGTGCTGTTCGAGATGACTTGGTTTCTTTTTGGCTTGATTATTTTCCATAAATAAAGGGTATGCACTTATATACAGGGTATATATAATGTCCATAAATGAAGTTGAGTCAATATGTACAGGGTATTCTTGTGCTCCTCACGCATTCCTATTTATTAGGATTTTTTAAGATAAAAATTTAATTCAAATTTGATATTTTTCACTTTCCTAAAACAAACCCAAATACCCGCTTGGAGTGCATAAAATTTACGTGGTATGCTGATTGGTTGAAAATTAATAAATATTGAAATAATTTAAGTAAATTTTATATGCAAATCGTTGGCGTTCGCCACGTTGCGAGCTGCAAAACGCGCTCGGCTTTAAACACTTGGAGCGCTTCATTTTGATATTTGATACCCTGTAATCAAAATAGGAAAAAGGTGTGTTGGTTAGGGTAGAAAGCAAGAGTAGCAACTTAAGGGAATAAGAAATTTATCGAGTTTCTTACATTTGCTTAAATTTTGATGTTATCGATGAATATCGATTTGGACAGTTGCTGTTTATAAGCAAAACTCGATAACTTAAAGGTGTAGAGCTGTCATATCGGACTGGCAGCTATATTAAGGAATGTGAGCGCTGGACAGGGTATACTACAGTCGGGCATTGCCCACTAGATTACTCTGTCGCGTTATTTTTATGTGTAGGCAACTCGTTTTATACTTTGTTCGCTCTTTGTTTTTGCCAAGTGATTAAATTAATAATTAATTAGTTTAAATTTTGAATAACGGTTGTAAATAATCATTAATAAAAATTAAAAAAGATTTCTTTTATGTTTAAGAGCTCAACGAAATACGCAGCACAATTATCAAAAAAACTTTGCCACAATTCAAATTCAAATTCAAATTCAAATGCAAACCGATTCAAGATCAACTGAGAGGAGAGCGAGAGTGGAGCGGGCAGAGTGGAGAGGGGCCAGTTGGGGCTCTTTCAACTCGTTTCCCTAATGACCCGCGACTTCTGCGTTGTTTGCTTAAATATGTTAAAATTTATTGGCAACGGTTTCTCAATTTGCATACCATAAAATGGGTTAAAAAGTGTATAAAAAACGAAGCTCAGCCAAATTAGTAAAATCGCAATCATCCGATCTAGAAGCTAAGCCAGGCTAACACAGCTTTACAGAAGCTTTTTCTTAGTTAAATTAGAAGCGTTCATTGATCTGCAGCAATTTAGAAATGTGAAATAAAAATGATTTTAGTTTATTCCCATTGAATCTTGAACTGAGTAATACATAAAGTTCCTTATTCGAATGATTAATCTAAGGGAAGCTGAGAGCAACTATAAATTGTCTTTTATGGCTGCTCGAGGTATTTCCCTCTTAAGGAGCAGAGAGAATCTTTGGGAAAGTAAAAGCAACAGGCCCGATCCTCTGCTCTGTAAATATTTCAAATACTTTATATATGTTTGTGCTGCATACATAACATATTCTTTCATATTTATATAGTTTATATAAATATGAATTCATGTTAAAATATTTATATATATAGTTTATATATTAGTTTATATATTTTAGTATACTTTATTTCTGCGATCTACTAAAACATAAGCCAAATAAAAGGAGCTGCTATCACTGCTCAGAGCACAGCTGCAAATAGTTGTCTTATCAGTCGATTTCCTTGTTATCGATCAAACACTATCGCTTAATCGATATCAACTGTGCAATTCAAATTACAAAACAATGAAGTAAAATAAAAGTCGACAGAATTCACTCATTACTTTATTCACAATCAAGAATCAATCATCACACAAGGCTCGAGACTTGATTGAATGAATTTCAGACTCTTTGAGCTTGGCTTTGGTGGCCCTGAAAAGAGCCTTTGGGTGTTACGTGTTTGTCTTCTGCAGTACCTTTCGCCTCTGGGCTGGCTCTACTTGTGTCGTAGCTGGTGTGGGTTTGTTGATGCCTGCTGCAGCTTGGGCCGAACGAGGCCTTAGTCCGGTTTGCTGAAGTCTAGAGGCATGCCACTTATTGTGCGTGTGTTTGTTTGTGTGGCATGCCTCATTTGTTGCCTTTGTCCAAGTGGCAGTTAGCTTGGCCTTGCATTGGGCCTTTGCCGTGCATCATTTGATTGTCGCATTCGTGTTAAATCACATCTCTGAGGAGTTGAGTATTTCAATCAGATATCAATCAATCAATCAAGCGATTAAAGTGGAGAGCTGTGTTTAAATTGATCTGTCTGGCACACACAATTCATATACGAATGAGTCGATCAATCGCTTCAAGTGCTCAAATTTCGAATAGCTGCTCCTCTAGATGCATGTATCAATCGTTATTCAATCAATCAGTCAATCAATCATTTGCGTCAAGTGCGGGGCAGCAGCTGGATAGGCCTGCCTCCACGTACCCCTGCTATCCGAAATCAATAATATGTTCTCCTCCTGGCGAATGCCTTGAGCCTCAATCAATCAGTCAATCAATCAATCAATCAAACATTCGCTTCGAGTGTGGAGCTGCGGCCGGATCGGCCTCGCTGCTCGCATCCAAAAATTAATATAATGTCCTCCTCAATACTTTGCTCGCTTCTTTGTACCGTTCATCGGGTTGCAAATGCGACGCTGCCGCCGCCGCTGCTGGCGCCCCCTCATTTGGGAGGCGTGGCCATGGCCTGGGCAGCCGAGACGGGCACTGGCACCACCATGCCAGCAGCAGCAGCTGCAGCGGCCAGACCCACCATATCCGCCTCGTGCATGGGCTTCTTCTTCAGGATGCTCAGATCGTTGACGTTCTCGAGGAACGACTTGTGGGCGGAGAAGACTTTGACGCTGTCGAAGTCCTTCTTCAGCTCCTCGATGTCGCGCTTCTGCTTAGCGCGACGGTTCTGGAACCAGGTGATCACCTGGGCATTGGACAGGCCCAGCGAGGCGGCGATCTCATCGCGATCCGCGGGCGACAGATATTTCTGGTAGAGGAAGCGCTTCTCCAGCTCAAAGATCTGATGGTTGGTGAAGGCGGTGCGCGATTTGCGCTTCTTCTTTGGCTGCGGCCGGTTCGAGAATATGTCCAAGTGCGATTTATCTGCCAGAGAGAGAGAGAGGGGAGATTAGTTGGGGCTGCAGCTTAAACCGGTTTGCATCGCGCAAAAGCCAATCGACTACACGAGTGTTAACAAGCGCACTTCTGAGGCGCATTAGAAATAATTTGTAATTGGCCGCGACGACTGTCTGGGCGACTGTTAATTAAAGTGCTTTGATTTATGCATTCATATGATTTAATTGCAAGCGCTTTGCCTGCGCCCGCAGTGGGTATATTGGCTTGCTGATTTGCCTTTAATCATGCAATTAAACTGTCAAATCATATTTCTCTATAAGTATACTCTGTTTATGCACGTCAGAAAGGGTATATTGGTTGCCAGCTGAAGAGAGTCTGTCTAGAGACTCAGTGTTATCTGCAAGTAGGCTACATAGACAGGGTACATTGGTTGGTTCTACCTGGCAGCGCGGCTGTCAGTCAGTTAAGCTCGAGCCACTTGCTTCGCTTGATTAATTGAGCAAGTTGTGGGCGTCATTGACTTTGTCTCTGCGCGGACTTTGGCAATCATTTGTCTCGTTTGCTGCTTGATTTATGCCACATAATTATTGACACCTACAAATCAGAAAGCTGCCTGATTAATGAGCGGCTCAGGCTGGCAAATTGCAAAGGCAAAGCTTGTCCAATGCTTCCTGATCATAGCTGAAGTCAGACAAAGTTGTGATCGAGAGAGGGAGGTGCAGTGACTGAATGCTAATTTGCAGTTACGAAGCTCTCAGCTGCTACTGTGACTGCCCCCAATTTGGAAATTCATGAATATGCATCAGGCACAAGGCACAAGGTATGTGGCTTACAGAGTATCTGTAGAGTATGAGCAGCTATTGTTATTGTGGATATGCAATTGTGCAAGCGAACGGGTCTTCACGCCCATTCCGAATCCATTTCGATTGCTTGTCAAACAAACTAGCCCAGCATTAAAAACTAATTAAACGCTTCGTGCTTAGTATTTGTGGGTTTCCACATGCAAATGGCATCAACTTGGCCTATTTGTTATCTCGAGCACGTTTTGTAACCGAAAACCCATTAGGCACTTGAGCGCACACCCCGCACTTCTCACTGCTCTTTATCAGAGACTCATTAAGTAATTTCTGTGACTTATCTAAAGCATAAATACAGAGAAATCGAAAAAACTCTAGGCCTAGCCACTTGGGTCCTGTCCCTGTCTCAGGTATCCACTTAGAGCGTGAGTCCGAGTGAGAGTGGAACAGGCCCTTTCCTTCTGCTCGTCCCAGTCAAGGGGTGGTTTGTTTTGGTTGCATGTGCACATAACATAAAAAAGAACAAGGGAAAACCTTTCTTCACAAAATATATGTTTTCAATTGTAATTCGAGTTAAACTGCCTAATGCCAACTGGCAACTGGCAACTGGCGACTGGCCACACACTTTCCAAAGAACCTGCAACAGTTGTTTATATGTTTTAACTTGCTTCCAATACGTGGAATCGGCTTGAGCGACGACAGTTTGTCTGGCATGACAACGAACAAACTCTGAAACATTGACTCAACTCTCATTTCCTAATTACTTCTTGAGTTTTATCTCCCAGTCAGTCAGTCAATCAGCAATGCTATATGCGTATCTCAATTGTCATTCAATTAAGTAATCGAGCAAAGCTGTAAGCCACAATGAAAAGACTAGATTGATTATGATTGATGAAGATATAGGAATGCTTCATCAATCATAATCAATCAAGTCATTGTTCACACTAATTTTAAGCAAATCTTTAATGTTACTCAAACTGTCTTAATTTATCTAAAGCAGCATCAATCAAACAGTCAGTCAATCAATCAGCTATCATTTTAATGTTAGCTGTTAAGTAGAACCATTTGCCAACTATCTTCTAAGATCTCTTTAGTCAGTTATGACAAGCTAGTAAATGGCAAGCTCTAACTGCACTCAGCGTCAATCAGTCAATCAAACAGCTATTAATTTAAAGTGTTCCCATGTTAAATATAACTATTATCCAATTATTTACTAAGCTTTCTTTAGTTAGTTATCTAATAAGTACAGCTGCACTCGGCTTCCATCAGTCAAGCGGTCAATCAGTCAATCAGTCAATCAGTCACTCAGTTAGCTATCGCTTAAATGTCATCTGCTCGCTTCCTGCTCATCGAGTGCTAATGATATTAATGGTGCACACGCACTCGTCATTCGATAATGGCTAAACACATAATAACACACATATGCACACACACACGTACACACACATGCATACATACATATACATATATATATATATATATCTATATATTATATGTTTATCGGGTCGACTTATACTTGTTGCTGATTGACTAACGATGTAAGCGCATAAAATATGTCATAAATATTTCACTTTACAGTTATACAACAATATTTGATAAATATAAATATTTGAAGTGTTAGAAAACAACAACAAATGACTATCGGAGACTGCAGCTGCGACTGCAGCTATTAGCTACAATAGCAATTTAGCCAAATGACAGCAGCAAACACAACAACAACAACAACAACAACTTAATATATTCCTAACTCTATTAGGCAATGATCATGAAGCCGCTGGCTAATTGTTGCTAATCGTTGTAGAATCGTCACGAATGCACCAAAAAAAAAAAAAAATAAATATATAAACAAATATGGAGAGGCTACACTTGGAGAAAAGTTGGATTACATATGTGAGACCAGTTAAAGTTGTGGTTAGAGGGGCACTCAGAGAAATAATAGAGTGTATGTTGGCTCAATCTAGCCGAAGCTGAAGAGGAAGAGCAGTATGAGCTACACTCAAAAAATAGTAAAAGTGAGAGGAGAAGCTAGTGCTATGAGAGCTGCACTCTAAGAAATTGTGCTGCATATTCAAGAAACAACTGAAGAGGCGTATAGACCAGGTACACTCAGAGAAATGTTCGCTTAAATGCTATGCACATTGAGCAAAAGTGAGTGAGGAGCTACACTTAGAGAAATATTCTTTTGCAGTCAAGGAAGAACAAGTTACCGTCAACTGTAGCTTAGTTTTCGCTCAGTGCATTTAACAATAATTAGCATGAAATACACAATAATTGAGCGAGGGGCAGAGTTTTGGGGGCTCAACACTAAAAACGCCCACTAAATGAAGCAGATGAATGCAAAGATGAACTGTGACTGTGACTGTGACTGTGACTGTGCCAGACTGTGATGCTTACTTGCCCATAAATCGAGAACGGCAACTATAGAGCAGGCTGCAGATAGAGAAATTCCACTTATAAATGTGGCCAATCAAATATTGAGTTATCTGCAATTTGTTTTGGCTCTGCTTCTTGGCACATGCCGCAAATTAATTGAAAGCCAAAAAAATCAAACTGAGAACTAGCCAAAGCCATTTGCATAACAAAAGAGAAGTAGAAATAGAAATAGAAATAGAAATAGACACAGAAGCAACGGAAACAAAAACAGAAACAGATATCGGAATCGAAATTGGAAATGAGAATGGTTTCAGCTTCTGAACGTTTCGCTTCAATTAGGCTAAAATCAAAAGCTACGCAAACAATTTTGCTGCAGTCGCTCAATTGGAATTGCCACAAAATTAATTACGGTTCGACTGTTATTCTAATTAAACACTACCCGCAACATGAACACGACTGGGAGCTACCCTAAAACCCAGCTGCTACAAGAGCTATTCGAAAAATGAAATGTTTTTATTGTGTGTTTAGTCAAGGGGAATCAATGAAATCTTTCAATAAATACTTTAACTCAAATTAAGCATTTATATCTGTTTATAATGCCCACTCTTTGCATTGACACAAGCAGAGAGTAACCTCTCAGCACATGTTCACTGCAGGGTATATGAAATCGAACATCTTTTTGATTCCATTTTGGAGAGCAACAAGAATTGAGACATTTATCAATGAAACATTTGTATGCTAATCGATTGAAAGTTCAGCGATGAAGCACCACAATTTATGGGCACGCTAAGTGATGGGGCACGATTGAAATTGGATTCGATATTGCTGTACACACATATGTTATTATTTACCTTGTGACTCATCAAAGTCCTTGGTGGTCATCTGGAAGAGCGCATCGAGCGGCGTGCCATTGGCCTTGGCCTTGGCCTCGGCAGCGGCGACGGCGGCGGCGGAGCTGGCGTTGCCACCCGGCTGGGCGGGACTGGATGCATTGGCATTGCTGGAGCCGCTGTTGCCCAGCTGAGCCGAGGACTGGGGACTATGGCTGCGACGCAGTGCAGCGCCGGCAGCAGCAGCAGCGGCAGCCGCAGCAGCCGAGTCTCGCGCTATTTCCGGCGAGCAGCAATCGCTGGCAGCGGAGCTGGAACGATCCGAACCACTTTCCGAGGGTATGATGTCCATGCTCATGTGCCGCAGCAGCTGGGCCTGGGCATTGAAGTGCTCCTGCAGCTGGCGATGATAGTCGAGGGCCAGACGCTGCTCGTAGTGCAGCAGAGCTGAGGGTATGAACGGGCGAACGGGCATGGGGCCAAGCAGATGATCCCATGGACGAACGATCTGTGCACCGGGCAGCAGCATCGCAGCAGCTGCGGCTGGATGCATGTCCAGTGGTTCGGTACGTGGCTGCAGCAGACCGGTAACAGGACGAGCGGCCGGTGGAGCCAGCAACGTGGCAGCCGGCGGTGGGGATGTGGAGCCGGAGCGTTGCTGCTGCTGTTGCTGCTTCTCCGAATGTCCAAGTATGTCCGCAATGGAGAAGCTCTTTACGCCCTCAATGGCGGACTTTGTGGTGGCCGTGGCTGTGGCGGCGACAGTGGCATTCGATGTGGGCGGTGCAGGCGGACTGGGCGTTTGCTCACGCGTCTCCGATGAGCTGGAGGACATGCGCAAGCGCTTCAGCGGCTGGAAGTAATCCTCCGGCAATGTGCCGACGGCATTCCGCGTCAGTCCAGCAGCAGCGGCGGCTGCGGCGGCGGCGGCAGCAGCGGCATGTTGTTGCATTAGCAATTGCTGTTGCTGCAGCAGATCGCGTGGATGATGCAGCTGATGCTGCTGCTGCTGATGATGATGGTGCTGGGTAGGCAATGGGCTGGGCGCACCGCCGACGGAGATCTCGGATTCGGCAGGACTGGCCGGACGCATTGTGGGCGGACAGAGCATTTAAATACTGATCAAAACTGTTTACACACTCTCACACACACTCAGAGGATTTGTCTGGGGCAGAATTTGGTATGCACTTTGTGTCTGCGACTTGTTATAAAATATATTTAGTATTTATAGATATATATATGCTTGAGTATATCTACAGCAAATGGCAAACGTGCGACGCGCAACGATAAACCATAAACGATAAACGATAAACGTTAAACGACAAACGACGCTGATCCAATAGGAGGACCTCTCAACTCGACGTTTCACAGTCAACTGTTCGAAACTAGATTGAAGATTGGTTTGCTAACTAGACACGTCGATATTTCTTCAGTTCTTTTGCTGCCCGCGCCGCAGCGCTCTCCGCGCTGCGCACTTCAACTCGATGTGTGTATGCGTGTGCGTGTTTGTGTGTGTGCTGTCTCTTTAACATCGTTTGCTCTCTCTGCGTATGTCGTCGTGTCGAGTCGTGTCTCGTTTGTCGGTGGTTAAACTCGGCAATCAAATCATAACTGCACAACAAGGCGAACGCTCTCTGCGAGAGCCAACCAGTTTGGCCTTTGGCTGACTGTGTTAGAGCGAGCCGGCAATAGTTGTGTGCTCTCTTGCGCGCTGGCCAATCGGCTGGCCGGAAAGCAATGCTAACAAAAAATAGCAATGGTGGCGTATACGTAACGGTAATTATGGCGTTCATCATGCGCCACGCGCCAAAGCGAGATAGCACCAACGCAAACGCTCTCTGTGTGTGTGTGTGTGAGGGAGGCAAAGCGAAATGAGTGGAAAAAAGTAAGTAAACCCCAACGAAAAGGCGACGCTCCTCAGCTTGTAACGAGACTGTATTTAGTATTTTCAGCCTCTGCTAAAGTTTTCACAACTTCGGCAGCGACGCCGACAGCGACTCCGACCCGACCCCGTTTAATGACGCATACCACATACAAGCGACCATCCACCGTGCCCTTCCACAGCGACAAACGTGTTTAATTGCAAAGCGTTTGCATTTAATTTGTTGCAACTAAGAACATTTCATTAATTCAAGCAAGCTGCAAATGAATTCGAGCTTAAAGAACTTGAATTGGGCTGTGACATAAATTTTAGATTGTTTTGTGTAGTGTAGTGCAGAAAAGGGGAGCGGCATTTGAATGTTTTGATAATTTAATTTAGTAAATAAAATGATTAAAAAAATTAATAAAAAGTAACAATTAAATAATTATACAACAGAAATGGTTGAGAAAGTTAATTGGGTATTAAAATAAAAAATTATTATGATATTATTATCTGAAACACAGATATATCGAGAGGAAAATAGAGTGAGGGAGAGATTAAAGTAAAGTATGTATTAAGGTTTTTTAATTTTATTTTCTGCCTCAAACAAACAATGCCAGGAAGTCCTCTAGCTCACTTACTCTTATAGAAACTGAATTCTAAACTCAAACTTGTGTTGCTTGAAAATGTTGTATATGTGTTGTATGTTACATTAAGTAATTGTTGACACATTTTGTTTGACTTAAGCACATTGCGAGGTCCAAACAAAAGGAGGCCCACAGAGCGGCGAACAAAAGGCGTCAAGGCGTCTGAAAGACAAAAGGCCCAAAAGGCACTTACGAAACACGAAAAACGGAAAATACGAAAATCGGAAAATGGAAAAATGTGAAGATAGGAAAGCAATTGCTGTCGCTGCAGGATGCTAAATGAAAAAGAAAAGGAATTGCCGGCAGCGCTCGACTTTAGCCGCAGTGGGTCTTCAAATCTCACCAGGTAGCCTTACCTGGTCAGGCTGCTGCTGCTGCGGCTGTTGTTGATAAGGACTAATCACACAAATATTTGAGCATTTGGTTTGTGATTGAGTTTGGCCGCGAGGGCAAGGGCCAAACAAAGCGGCTCGTTTGATTTACCAGTTTAGCGCTTCTGTTTTGCCCCCCATTATTGGCCTTTATATCTATCTATCTCTCTCTCTCTCTCTTTCGATCGCACTTTCTTGATAATTCTAATTTCTTATTTGGCTGTTTCATTCGCGGCTATTAGAGTGCCGCGGCGTGGGAAAAGCCTGCGGTGTTAATTATGCCGCCAAAGTCCTTGGAAAATCCTTCAAGCCAAATAGAAGGAAAGTCAATTTACACCTGTTACACCTTTCATTCGATGTGCCCGTGTGTGTGTGGCTTCATTCACACGCTGATAAATTGTGGCTGCTCGGGTGAAAGTGCTTCATTAATATTCAAATGCGATTTTTATTGATTTATCGCTGGGGTCCATGGCTGAGCCGGGAGCAGCTGAGGGCAGCTACCGTCGGCAGCTGCAGTGGCAACTGTGGCGGAAATGCGGCAACACAATTTAACTCATTTAACTGATCTAGCCAGATTATCCAGCAAGCTAATCGAAACGATTTACATTTTCAATATATTGCACAGCCGCTGCCCACGCCTTCAACATATTTCTCTCCCTCTCTGTCTGTGTGTGTAGCTCGCGGCGGGGCTTCATGGTCAGCACCAGCAATAGTAGCAGCCACTAAGAACATTACAGTCTGGCTTAGTCAACCGCATAATACTCGTTCAGAGTCCTCAAAACAGCTGTCTTCTGTAGGATTTACTACCCTTAGGTTCCAGCTGTAGAGCTCAAGAGTGATCTAAGTAAAATGCACTGCGATTCCAGTTCATAAACTGTAGTATATAAGTTTTATATACTTTATATACTTTATATATGTTTTATACAATTTATATACTTTATATACTTTAAATACTTTATGAACTTTATATACTTTATATACTTTATAAAATTTATATACTTTAAATACTTAATATACCTTATATACTTCATATACCTCTCAAATCAAATATTAAATGCTCTGGAATATATACTAAATATCAAGGTTATAGCGTCAATACAGCAAGATAGACATAGCAGAAAACCTATACGCCCGTTTGACAACATGAACGAGTATAGCCACAGCAGCAGCAACTTGCCTGCAATAGTCAATTAGCAAGCTTTCAACAGGCAGCCGCGACACAGCTTCCAATTCGTGTTGCGGCTCATTTTGAGCAATTTTTTGTGGCAGCTGCCAATTTGCATATCTCAAGAGCTCCACTAAGTCCGCTAGCTCCACAACTCAGCTCTGCCCACGCTCGCCATTGACACCTGGCTGTCAGTTGAAGTTGATTGTCGCCGTCGACTTGTGCTTTCGATTGGAAGCAGTCAAAAGGCTGCCGATTGGTAGCAGATCGAAGGTGTATATATAAATATATATGTATATATACAATAATTAATTTTTATGGGAATTATAAATTTTCACGCTTGTGCTGCGATTTGGCAACAAGTTCTGCTTTGATTTGAGTTGATTTAAATCTTTCCAGTTTGGGCTGAGAGTTGTGTTAGTAACAAATTTATTATAAAACAAAATCAGATGAATAACATGGTTTAAGTAAAAATTTATATAAATTTGTTAAGTTTGATTTCGTATTTGTTTATATTAAAGTCTTAATATATAAATATATTTAAAGAACTTGTTACAGGTGTCACGAGAGAAGAGATCTCTCAGTATAATTGGACCACTCTCTCTGTCTCTCTCTCTATGTCTTGCACTAATTGTTGGCATGCGTAAGAGTGGCACAGATTTTGGCATTTCACTTATTTCACTTATTTTTTAGTAGCGGGCCAAGTTTTGTGCATTTGACATACAAACTTTGGACCTCAAAGAGATCATAGCCACTGGCGCAGAGAAAGTCTGAAAACCCAAGACGTGAAGAAACGTCATTAGCAAAGGTAGTTAGACGCAAGGCAAAGGTATTAAACATTGCCAATTTCACAGTTATCAGCCGCAAGAGCGGCAGGGAGAGAGGGCCTCGAATAGTAGCAAATCGACTTAAGCCGTTTAGGGCCACCCACATCGAGAGTGGAGCAAAGCGAAGCGAAGCAGCTGCCAAGACGTGGAAGCCTGTCAAAGAAAATGCAGCTTTCAGGTCAAGCTTTGGTAGCAGCTCTCGGCCACGCTAATCAAACCACTGCGCGCCACAATAGCCGGCCAAAAGTTAAGAGCTCGAAAAGTCAAAAGAGCTCGAAAAACTAAAAACCGATAAACAAAGCCAACAAATCAAACGCTTACTGCAAATGGAAAGCACGAACAAAAGTGGAAAACAATGAACAAACGAATGCTAATTAAAGCGATGCTCAAATTGAAATGTTAAACTTTAGGTAATACCCAGTGAAAAAGGGCCCTGATGGCTGTGGGCTATGATAGACTAGAGTCTGAGGTTGACTTCATTTGATGAGTCAGAGAGAGGAAGGTGAGTGAGATAGAAAAAAATATATAAAACGAACGACAAATAATAAGAGAGAGATAGTGATACCTAACGAGATAACATACGGAGAGTTACTGTTATAAAATAAATATATTCAAAATGGAGACAGCGACACAGAAAGAGAGAGTGAGAAAACGACTAATCATAAAGAGAACCTGATTATCACAGAATTACAGACTCTTGACTCTAGCAATCGTGACTTTAAGCCAAATATATTCTTCTTCTTCTACATTACGCAAGGGAATAATATAATACCAAAGCATAAAGAATACTTCAGTTAAATACATTTCATTTCATAGTTAATTGAAAACATTTCAATTACAGGGTATATGCAAGTTCAGCTCACATCAAGAGCTGCTATTCATTCATACTTACGACTTTATCGCGTGTGGTTTGTCAGCGGTGTAAAGCAGCTCAAATCGAGCTGCCACTGGCCAGAACCAGAGCCAGAGCCTGGGCCAGAATCATAGGCGGCTGGATTTGGCTTTGGACTTGGATTTGAATGTGAAGTTCTTTTTCGGTTCTCAGCGGCTGCTACTGTTACTGTTGCGGGCTATATCAATATTGACCCCTGATCTGGCTACTCACACGCTCTACTCGCACTCGCACTCGCACTCGCACTCGCCACTCGCATCGGCAACTCTTTGAGAACTCTTGTTTAGATACTTTTTCGACTGAATGCCGCATACAAATATTTGTCCGCTGGCAACTTAATTGAGTTAGCTGAGCGCTCGGCTCTTGGCTCTTGGT